TGCAATTGCCTTAATGTAAAAAAAAAAAAAAAAACTTCATTACTGTAATATAAAAAGATATATTATGTAAATGTGTATTTTTTCATCGTGATATTTGATGTACTACCTCATAAAAATTTAAATATAGCTTGTCTAAATTATTAAAAAGAAGAATAATTAAGTAAAAATCCAAAGTAGATGTCTGGAATTTGGTGGAAAATGTGCTTAATAATTTTACATTGAAAAAATATCTTAATGGTCTTAAAAATAGGCTTTATTTTCTTTTTGCTAAATATAATTTCCTGATTTTTTTTCTTTTGATTTTGTGGTGAAATGTGGCCTCTACATGTTTTAATGAGATGCACCTAGTTGTCAGGCACTTTAGATGTTAATTTCTCTGTAAAGAGGGTAATGGCTGGTACATAAGAGCAGACACTATGACTAATGGTATACTTCTGTTCATGTGCTTCTCTTTCTCTCTGTTTTACTTTGTCACAGGACCATCAGACCATTCTTAGGGCCTGGGCCGTGAAGGACTTTGCCCCAAACTGCCCTCTCTACGTGCAGATCCTCAAACCTGAGAATAAGTTCCACATCAAGTTCGCAGGTCAGCGTGCAAAATGTGTTTCTCTCAGGGATGCAGGTGTACTAGAGAGTATGATATTTGATGCGCTTCGTACATGTGTGAGTGTGTTGAGAGGCAGCTCCTTCCATCTGAAGCCCTGTCCTTCAACACTCAACCCATTTTATATCCCTCTTCAGTTGTGGAAATGTGGATAATGCTTTTTACTTTCCTAGTCTTCCCATTCCCCATGTCTGCTATAGATTATGTGTGTGCAGGCCAATGTTGTTATTGTTAACGAAAACTATTACATGGACTAGAAACTAGCAGTGAAAAATAAAAATAAAATGTATTAAAATTTTATTTTATTAAAAAATAAAAATGGGGGTTTGTAGGGGTTGAAAAAAAAAAATCCTCATGTGATCATATAAAAACAGCTTGCAAGAAGACACAAACACTACTGTTCAAAGCTTTGAGGTCAATAAGATTTTTTATTTTTAAGAAATGAATACTGTTATTGAGCAACAAAGAATTAAATTGATCAAAAATGAAAGTAAAGACATTTATAGCATTAGAAAAGATTTCTTATGCTGTTCTTTTGAACTTTCTATTCATCAAAGAATCCTGAAAAAAATGTATCACGGTTTCCACAAAAATACTAAGCAGCACAACTGTTTTCAGCATTGTTAATAATAAGAAATGTTTCTTGAGCAGCAAATCAGCATATTAGAGTGATTTCTGAAGGATCATGTGACACTGAAGACTGGAGTAATGATGCTGAAAATTCAGCTTTGCATCACAGGAATAAATTACATTTTAAATATATTACAATAGAAAACAATTATTTTAAATTGTAATAATATTTCACAATATTACTGTTTTTACTATAGTTTTGATCAAATAAATGTGGCCTTGGTGAGAGACTTACTGACCCCACATTTTTTAACAGTAGTGTACGTGTTATTATATTATTACTGTATTGCAGTTCTTATATCATTACATCTTATATCCAGTTCAGAGGCTTTAAGTTACTAGTTAACTACTCAAACTGCTTTACTAATTATTAATGTGAGGAATGTTAATTGTGAATACTTAAAATTGGCATACAAAAATTCTTATTTCAGTATAATTTAAGGCATATGTTTCTAACAATTATTTTAAATTGTAATAATATTTCACAATATTACTGTTTTTACTATAGTTTTGATCAAATAAATGTGGCCTTGGTGAGAGACTTACTGACCCCACATTTTTTAACAGTAGTGTACGTGTTATTATATTATTACTGTATTGCAGTTCTTATATCATTACATCTTATATCCAGTTCAGAGGCTTTAAGTTACTAGTTAACTACTCAAACTGCTTTACTAATTATTAATGTGAGGAATGTTAATTGTCAATACTTAAAATTGGCATACAAAAATTCTTATTTCAGTATAATTTAAGGCATATGTTTCTCTTTTCTCCTTTTTTTGTCTAAACAGGGTAAGATTATTCTTGCCCAACCTCATACAAATAAGAAGTACTCAGATTAGATTATCTGAAGGCATTAGTTTCTGATGAAGTCATTGTACACAGATTTAAAAAGATTAAAAAAAAAACTGTACTGAAAACAAAAAATAAAACATATAAACAAAATACAAGATATTAATGCACTGTTAAAATGAACTAAAACTAAACTGAAACAAAACAAGATAAAATATTCAAAACTATAATAACCAGGCATCCACTGGCACCGTATTAGTAGTAGTAGTCGTGTAGTCGATAATTCTCCTATTTAGTAGCAGGACCTTAAAGTGTGGCGTATTGCACATCTCATGTTTGTGGGATTGCTGTGGTGTGTGTGTGAGGGTTATTTTAGGATGATTACCAGGAAATGATATGGAGAATTTCTCGGTGCAGTAGGATGTGAGGTGAGGCAATGATTCGAGATCCAAATTGCAGCTGCCGTCGCCGCTCCGATGAGCAGCAGACGAAAAATGTGAAGAAGATGCATTGCTCTCTCCTCTCATGTGAAGACCCACATTTGTATGACCTGTAGCACCGCATTACCTGTGTCTGTGATGCTGAGAGCAAGATGGTCTGCCCAGCATATGTGGCGGCACTTGTTTTAGAGTCAATGAGAAGGCGGAGGAGGAAAGGACAGGATGAGTCAGTGGCTGAGGCAGCTGGAGCTTTACCCAGAGATCAACCACAGATTACACACTATCACACAATCTGTCAGTCGAACCCAGAGCTGCTGGTCACCCATCAGAAGAGAATGAGAACGTTTCCTTGCTGCCTTATCAGTCAGTGACTTGACACTAAAATTCATGCATAAATACATCTTTATTTTTGGTGTAATGACATCTTGATTCACAAATGTTTCAGTAATGTTCATTGTTTTGGATGCATCTTTTGACTGGAACATGTGAAAAAGAAGTACATTTTGCATACTTACTATGGAAATAATAAGAATATTCTTAAATGCAAAGTGAGCAAAGTCGGCGTCAGTGCTTGACGGAGGGCGTGCTTGAAGCTTGGTGCTGACGCGACCGTCATAGTGACATCAGCCAATCACATTTCTGGTGTTGCATGAATGCGATTGGCTAGTGTCTACGCTATGGTATTTGCATGAAGGTGATCTGATTGGTTGACGCCTACGTTGGTGCTTGAAAAGTTTTTTCAACTTCTGCCGCAAGCAATGCCGGTGACACGATGCAATGGACCCACAATTCAGTTCGGCAACGCATGACGTATATTTTAACTTTAAATTTAATATCAAATAACACACTACAGTTAAATTTACAGTCAAATCAATGTGCTTTATTATGACATCAAAATAAGTGTACTTCTTAAAAGCATGACAAAAGATTTTTAAAATACAATGATTTAAAATGTACTTTAAACAAAACTTTTAACTTTTAACAGTATTTCAATGTGCACTTTTTAAAAAAGTTTGTTAAGAAACAGGAAAGTGTCTCTCTGCAAGTACACTTAAGTAGTCTTTTATTCCATTAATATTATTTTATCTGCAAATACAGTTTTTTTTTTAATATACTTGAAAGATTTTTAACACAATAAAGTACACTTCTTTTTCTCAAGTGTATGTATGAAGGAGTGCTATCAAGTGATGAAATCTACTAAATATGTGGATCCTTTAACAAATGTAGTTTGAGTGACGAATGGAGCTCAAGCGTAGTTCAGGCAGACCACGGCATAACAGCCAGCATCAGCTGACGCTCAGCTGAATGTAACTCCTCCCACTACAATTAAATAAGATATATAAGATAATCCATACTCACACTTGCCTTAGTCTGTCGCACAGACATGCACTTACCCTCCTCCATCCCCAGCTCCTCCTTATACAGGCATGATCACTTAGCTTGCCTTGTCCACGGAAATCTGCTATCAGCTAATCATTGCTTAATCTTGTACAGACCTGTATCACTTCTGCATGGAATTTTATATCTGTAGCATATTAAAATTCTGGTAATTGCATTAGGCTTCGGGGGTTTCAAACCTCAGTGAGGTTTGCTTGTGGACAGCTCAGAATCTGAACTCTTCAGAGCAAAGCCTGCCGCCAAAATAATGTTCAGGACATCGACAATAATTTTAATCAAACAGAGTGGTCCTGACTGAAATATATGACTGAAATATAGAATTTTTTCAACACAAAATATGGCAATTTACAAATTGACAAATCAAAATTTTTAGTAATTTATGGATTATCAAGGAATTATTTCATATTATATTGGCAGAACGCATAACAGACAATTTTAAACAGATGCTTTACCCAAAAAATGAAAATATGAAGCCATCTTACCAGACTATAAAAACATTGGACATACTTTCCCAAAAGTATGTTTTTCCTCGGATGCATTTGCCAAATGTTTGTTTTATCTGCTCTATCTGCAACATGTCAGCAGGATCATGAATAAGAATGTGATTCTTTTATTGAGAGTTATGGTTGAAATGACACTTTAATGAGGAAAAAAAATTAACTTAAATGATTTTAGCAAATGGCTGCAATATAACAAAGAGTGAAAAATTTAAGGGGGTCTGAATACTTTCCGTACCCACTGTACATACTTATGTTTCATATCAGTCAGAGGTGGTTATCCCCTGTGGGCGGCATGGCGTCTTGGTGGTTTACAGAGTGCTTGCTTCTTGACAGTTCGGCGGAACGCATCAATATTCAGCTTTTCTATGCATGGCGGGCGTGTTGTGACACTGCCTGGAATATACAGTATGCACTAAGTGGCATACTTAGTGGCATCCACTGAGTGGGTGGCATAAATGAGTATGGCTGGAGACTTGACTTCAGCTCTACAAATAGCTTAATCGCACCTTAATGTTCGTATCGATGCAATAGAAGCTCACAGAGTGGTTTGTCTGAGTTTGTTCACACCTCACACGGTTATTTTGGGACTTCTAGACCACTGTTTGTTTTGTTTGACTTTTGATGCGTTAATTGATTTTCTTTTCCTCTCCGTGGGCATGTTTGGAAATAGTAACTGGCTGCTTTGCTTCTTCCAGTTCTGCAGCGTGTTAGCGTAGCTATATCAACAGCCTGGTCATTCATAAACATAACCGGCATGCTGCTTTAATTAATGCTAATGGCAGAGAAGTGGCACTGTTCTTGGCGTCTTGCTGGGGTTCACAGAATGACCGCAATCTCTCATGGCTACACTCCTCGAACGGGGACAGAAACAGCAGCTTTAGAGAAAAAAAGAATCTAGAAACACAATTATCACAGTGTTCTAACCTGCTGTGCCACGGCCCCACTTCAGTCGAGGTCAACGTGCGCTTTCCGAGGCTGCTGGAAATGAGGGAGTTGGTGGAGGAGATGAAGTTGTTGAGCAGAAAGGGTGTGCATGAGGAGGAACAGAGGTCTTTAATTCACCGTTTGATCTTTATGAGTGAACGTCTTCAAGTGCTGCCTCCACTACTTCAGCCTGACGTGGAGAATAATTCAAAGAACAAGCCTTATTTATTTATTTATGAAGTTACAATGGCAATGAGACAAATTATATCGTTTAATTAATAACCTAAAGACAAAAAAAACAACAAAAAAAAGAACAAGCCTTGTTAATAATTGATTAACATCAATAATCAGAATCAGTTTATTGGCCAAGTGTTATTGTTGTGGCATTGGAAATGGCAGTAATTTACATATATACAAGATACAGAATGTAGATATACACAAATATAGTTAACACAGTTTACACAACTATATGTACAAGTTGGTAATGGTATTTACATGGGTAAAAAGGGACAGTGTTGTTTGTGCAGGATTATAAATATAGATTGTATTAAAAGTTATAAGAGCAGAAAAAATAAGTAGGTATTGCAAATGGCATAAATAATAAATAACAAATATGAGTTGTACATATTGTGCTCAGTAGAATTGTTCGCAATATGTATAAGTCATATTTATTTATGCCATCCATTTAACCCCCCAAATAAAGAAGGAATGAACAACAAAATAAAAAAGAAAATCCTTAGTAGTTTATTTATTTTAGAAATGTTTGTTTGTTTGTTTTCAGCAATAACTAAGAATAAACAGCTAAAAATAAATAGACAAAGCAATGTTAGTCAAAACAATATTAGGTCAGTAACTTTAGATAACAAGAAAAGAACAAAAAATATTTTAGGAATGACAGTAGAAAATAAAAACACAAAACTGTAAATAAACAACAAATAGACAAAACAATGTCTAGCAAAACAATATTATGTGAATAACAACACTTTGACAAAACAAAACAAAAAAGAAACACTTTTTACTTTATTTATTTTTAGAAAATACTATAACAAACAATGAATACCAAAATATAAAACAATGTCAGTCAAAACAATACTACTTGTATAACAAGAAGATTAGACAAGAAAAAACTAAACAAAAACATTTTATTAAATAAAATCATAAAACAATAATTAAACATTTAATAGACAAAACGATGCTTATTAAAACAATAACGCAGATACAATTCAAAAGGTACAAAAAAATTAGCCTAATTTAGTCGAATAACACTATATTTTAGCTTCAAAGCTGAAATTTTGCAAAATTGTTTCACAGAGAACAATCAGTCCTACTCTCCTCCTGATTTTCCTCATTTCACAATTTTACCTTCAATCCTTCTTCGTAGCTTTGCCTACGCATTTCTCTGAATTGACTCGGGTTATTCAAACAATCGGAGCATTCTTCTCTCCTTGGGCAAGTAACGTGTTTGAATAGATGTCAGTAAAATCCAGTTGTTGTCAGTTGTTCCTGGCCTGTCGTATAAAAGACTATTCATTTTTTTTAAAATAACGCTTCACACATTCCACATCATTTGTGCAATGCTAAGATTAGTTGGTATTTTCTTAAATCCACTCTCAGAGAAAAAATAACATTGTACTAGAGCAACATAATAAATTCCAAGCATACTGTAGATGGTTAACACATCCACCCTAATAAAGCAATAATGACTCTGCCACTTCCCTCTCAATTAGACAAAACAAAGAGAAGCAAAAAGCAACAGGATGAGGAAACAGTTGGCACTCCTATCGTTTATTTCTGATCAGAAATGAGGAACACAGGTTTTTTAATAAGCTACCTAGCCTAAAGGTGATGTCTACGTCCTCTGATGAACAAAAAAAGGAAAAACTCCAAAACAACCAAAAATAGACCAAAGGAAAAGGACTGGTAAGGCCCAGAGAGAGCGCAAAAGAGACAATTCTCAGAGGAGCAGCCGGGTTGAACGGTTTACCTCGGATTCAGTTCAAAAAAATACTGTCTTTTATCTTTTTTGTTTTGAGAGTGGTTTTCTGTCCATTATGTTTTGACTTTGGTCCAATCCTGCATTGAATTAAATTGAAGTAAATGGTTTACACATAGCCAAAATACACGTCTGGAGTCAGTGTTTTCATCAATGCTAATGCGATTTTATTGACTTATTTTCCTAATTAGCAAAATTAGTAAATGTGTTTTCACTCACTGCTAACAAGCCACATGAAAATTGCGCTCCATCCGTGAGAAGTCATTAGTGCCATAATTGCTATTTTTCCTCCGGATGAATGCGTTATTTGGTTTTTTAACATTACTATATATACACTTAAGTATTCATAAACGTCCTCTTCTGCCCTTAGCTTTTTCACTTTTTTTAAACTGTCTGTCTTTGTGTGTTTTTCCGGTACATTGGCTGGCATTTAAATGGCAGCAGAGGTCTGAAGCTGATGTGTGTTCACTCTGTGTGGAGGCTGTTTAAGAGGGCAGCTGTTTTGAGCATGGGAGTTAAAGGAATAGTTCACCCAAAAATGAAAATTTTGTCATCATTTACTCACCCTCATGTCTTTCCAAACCTGTATGAGTTTCTTTCTTATGTTTAACATAAAAGAAGATATTTTGAAGAATGCTGGTAAATCAAACAGATGATGGTCCCCATTGACTTCCATAGTATTTATTTCCCTACTAAGGAAGTCAATGGGGATCAACAACTGTTTGGTTCTTCAAAATTCTTAAAAATATCTTCTTAAAATATTAATTTTTGGGTGAACTATTCCTTTAAAGGAGCATGAGATCTTTATTTAGAAAGAAAAAAAAAAGAGAGAAAAGGGGAAGCACCGTGCATCATGGGAACTTTTCAGAGGGAAAATGGTATAAGCACACATACAGGGAGTGTAGCCAACAGGTGCACAAACATGATGAGTGAGTGGACACAGAGGGGTATGGAAAGAAAAGTGAGCATTGAGGGTGATATCAGCAAACGGCAAACCAAAAGTGGTGGCAAGAGAGATTGTTCTAAAGAAGACATAAGGGCAGGTAAAGTGTCATTTGAGCCAACACATCAAGAGCTACAAGGAGAAGGAAACAAAGGCATGGCATCTCATAAACTTTGCATTTAGGTTTCAGCTTCCATGTACTACTTTAACATTTAACCCTTCTCATATTTTCTGTTACTTGAACATCATGCTCAACACTGATTATCTGAGCTGCAGTGAAAAAGAGTATCAACGACAAAGTGTTAAATTCAGTGTGGGGAGTTAAAGGAATAGTTCACCCAAAAATGAAAATTTTGTCATCATTTACTCACCCTCATGTCTTTCCAAACCTGTATGAGTTTCTTTCTTATGTTTAACATAAAAGAAGATATTTTGAAGAATGCTGGTAAATCAAACAGATGATGGTCCCCATTGACTTCCATAGTATTTATTTCCCTACTAAGGAAGTCAATGGGGATCAACAACTGTTTGGTTCTTCAAAATTCTTAAAAATATCTTCTTAAAATATAAATTTTTGGGTGAACTATTCCTTTAAAGGAGCATGAGATCTTTATTTAGAAAGAAAAAAAAGAGAGAAAAAGAAAAGAAAATAATACTTAAATGCAGCAAGGACACATTAAATCAAAAGTTGCAATAAAGACATTTATAATGTTACAAAAGATTTCTATTTCAAATAAATTATGTTCTTTTGAACTTCCTATCCTTCAAAAAATTCTAAAAAAAAAAATGTATCATGATTTTCACAAAAATATTAAGCAGCACAACTGTGTGAATGACTGCTGAAGCATCATGATAATGGCTGCTGAAAGTTCAGCTTTTCATTACATGAATAATTTATATTTAAAATATAATCAAATAGAAAATGGTTATTTAAAAATTTAATAATATTTCACATTTTTTCTGTTTTTAGTGTATTTATCAAATAAATGCTGCCTTTGTAATCAAAGGAGACGTGAAGGAGACAGAAACATTTAAAAAATCTTACTGTCCCCAGACTTTTGAACGGTAGTGTATATTTATTGAGAAGTTAAAATGTGCAATCAAAATAAAATGAAATAAATAACTGAATAAAAATAAAATAAAATAATAATGGGTGCAAAAATTAAAAAATAAAAATAAAAAATTTAAATGGATGTCCATAGTGCAAAACATTGCACCAGAATAAACATTAAAATAGAGTCTGATTTGAGAGTATACCCACAATTCCTATATACATTGTACATGTTAACATTAGTGTAATAAAATTGCTTACCAACCTTGCAAAGCTGTGCAAAGCTATATCTATTTTTTTCAACTAATTACGTTAACCTAGTAACTTAGTGCAACTTAGACAACTTTACAGCTCAAATAACACACATTTTCACACAAAAAGCTCTTGAACAAAAATACAAGCTGCATATTTATACTTTTAAACCCTTTTGCCCCATCAACCGTTGTGCATGCTTATACAAACTTATATTAAGAATTCAATAATTTTCTCTGGTAATCAATACGATGTCAATAGAGCTTAGCTTGTATTGAACATTCCTCCATAATGAAAACATATTCCATGAAACAGAAATCTGAGAATTCAAATTTCTCCCATGTGTTTATTTTGCAGACCATGTGGTTTGTGAGGAAGAATTTAAGTATGCCATGTTGGCCCTCAACTGTGTGTGTCCTGCTACCTCCACCCTGATCACCTTATTGATTCACTCCTCTAGAGGACAGTGAGTATAAACATCCCTCTCATATTCATTCATCACTAGTAGCCAGACTTTTGACTACAGCATTACATCTAGTCAGATTTTAACTTATGAATCACCTATTTGGACAGGAAGAGGATATTTGACTAACATTGAAAGTGACCAACCACATTTGTGACATTATCATCTGAAATATGTATTTTTAAGGGCAACATGTAACTAAAACAGCCTCTGTCTGGTGTTAAAAGACATGTGTGGCATTTATGATGTTGAATGGATGTGAATAGCATGAATTATCGTCCGTCCACTTTTTCAGCAATGCTGGTTCTGGAAGTATTTTTTTTTCTCCGTTTATTATTCCTGTAGGGAATTTAAAAACAGTCTTTGTTAAAACATTATAAGTTATGGATCAAACCAACCAGAGCATTGCATGAACTGAGCATTGCAAACTTTTATCTGAAGCAAAAAAGTATTTGAAAACGGTACAAGACTGTACTTAATGGCTTTATTGAGGGAAAGAACTACAATCCCATGAAGCTTTGCGAATGGCAAATTAAAAAAGATGGTAAAATATAAAACTATCTATTTAAAGTTGTTGATTATATTGACAGAAACAATATATTTTAAGTTTATTGTGTGTCTGCGACACCAACTCGATTACGTCATTCGAAGTGCTTCATGCAGAGGGCCTTTGGCGCAATTTGCTCACCGCAACTCTCTGATTGGTGGACGTTTTTGCGCAGAACCCTGGGTAATGTAGTTTTCATCACAAATTCCACTGTTAAATTTGATTTATTTTTAAATAAGTTGAAATAATGCAAACAGTTTAACAAAACTATACACCACTTATTAACAACCTCGTAGCTCATAACAGATTTCTCTTTAAAGGTTTATGTTAACGTTAAAAATCATTTTCCCTATGGAGAAAATGAATGACATTTTTACTTCCAGAACCCGAATGCCGCACTTTGTTTAACTCTTTTGAATATGTTTGCACAAACATGATGCCTAAAATAAAATCCAGTGCTCTGTAGATGATGTGCACGGATGTCTCTGCATACATGCGCTTACTGGACGAGATGAAGGACAGATTTACAGAGTCCTCAATCACTGAACCATCAGCATGTGTTTAACTTACATTTTTTTTATTATCAGAACAGCATCTTCAGAGGCCTTCAAGCAGCGAGCAGGCGCCTTCCAGCCCCTCAACAGGTCAGACCCACCAACTGTAAAATATTGACACGTACACATCGATACACACAGCAGCAAAGATCCCATAAACTGTGAATTTAACTCTGCGTCATGCATCCTTGTTTCTTCACCTCCTCCATCTTAACACTCCCCCACACCCTCTGGTTCTCACCTCCCCTTCATCTTCCCAGCCATTCGCAGGGATGTCAAAGACACATCAAGCGTTTTTTTTATTTTTCTGCCCATCTGTAAGATACGGTGTTTTCCCAAGCTGAACTGCAAGCTGTGAATACGTTTGAAGGACATGTCAAAGGAATAGTTGACCCAAAATATTACGTTTTGTCATCATTTACTCACCTTCATATTTCCTTCATATTGTGGAGCACCGCGGAAGAAATTTGGAATAATGTCCACGCTGCTCTTTTCCATACATGAGAGTGCATGCATTTTTATATTTAGGTGAGGAAAATGAAGGGGGGGGAGATTAGGAAAACGAGCAAAATAGAGGTTAGACCTCATTTTAAGGTGTCATTGTTACAGTGTGAGTAAGTACTGAGTAATATTGTTTACATGCATGTACTTACTATAGGGTTAAGATTAGGGTTACGGCTTGGTTTAGGGTTAGTTACTCATAATTATGCAACTAGTTATTAGTGAGGATTGGTCCCTAAACTAAAGTGTTACCAAATTCTGTCATTATTTACTCACCTTCACGTTGTTCCAAAACGGTATAACTTGCATTCATCTTCGAAACACAAATGAAGATATTTTATTGAAACCTGAGAGATTTCTGTCCCTCCACTGAAAGTCTGTTACACCAAAATATTAACACTTCAAAAAGTTCAAGTCCACGCTAAAATAATCCTTATGGCTTCCTTTTACCATATTTGATGTGCTCTATGTATGTGCGTTGATCAATGTTAAAATGTGAATAAAAGCCTAAATTAAGTCTATTTATCATATAAAGCAACCGTGTTTCTTAGAAGACTTGGATTGAACTGCTTGATTCATATGGATTACTTTTACAAGCTCTTTATAAACTTTTTGAATCTTCAAAGTTTTGTTGTAATAGACTTTCAGTGAGGAGACAGAAACCTCTTAGGTTTCATTAAAAATGTATCTTCATTTGTGTTTCAAAGATCTTAAGGTTTTGAAAAAAGTCTTAAGGTTTTGAAACGACACGAGGCTGAGTAAATGTTGACAGAATTTGCATTTTGTGTGAACTATCCCTTAATTCTTTAGGAAAACATTTTCAAAAGTTGATCCATCTCTATCTAGGGAAGGCAGTGCTGGCTCCGTCGACCAATGGCAGCGCACATACCGGCGGTGTGCAGCCAATGAGGTCCACCACATCCGGCTGGAAGAGAGCCAGTTTTTTGGAGAATATCAGGGAAAGAGTTTCACTTTTGCCTCCTTTCATGCACATAAGAAGTAAGTCTGGTTAAAGATGCAGTGAATCACTATGTTTTAATGCCAGTAAACACACAATAACACCGTTAACTGCTGTGGCAGATACGGCGTGTGTCTGATCGGGGTGCGCAGGATGGACACAGCCAACATCCTCATGAACCCCGGACCCTGCCACATCATGGGAGCCTCCGACACCTGTTTCTACATCAACATCTCCAAGGAGGAGAACTCAGCCTTTGTCAGGGGCCACAGAGAGCCTGTGAGGGGCCCTGGGGGTGACTCAAGAGGGGTCCCGCAGACAATCTATCATGGCCTCACTCGGCTACCAGTGCACAGTATTATAGCCAGCATGGGTTAGTCTGTAAACTCATATTTTCATTTCAATCGTAAACTTGTGCCTGACGATAAATTGTCATACAGATTATTGCGAATAACTGTTTAATTGTCCGTTTTTCTTAAAGTTGGCATGAAATGGAAATTTATCCTATCGATTTTGTCTGCCTAAACCCCGCCCCTTTCTTACAATCAACTGCAAGCTCGCATTTATATCTGACTTCATCCAAACAACTAATGGACTGAACCATTTTTCCATATGTCACAATACGGAATAAAAGATCTGTCACTAATTCTGTTTCATTGTGACTTTAAGAATTCATTTATTCACACTGAATCTGAAATCATACAATAAAATGTATGAATTCCTTTAAGGTTTGAGAATAATGTTTTAAATATTTTTTTAAAAGATTCAAATATTCTTTGGTAGTATCATTTAAGTCCAAGTCATTTATTAGTATTAGTATTATTTAAGATTTTAAGAATAATGTTTTAAACATTTTTAAAAAGTGTCAAATATTTATCTTTGGTTCACTTACGTCGAAGTAATTTATTATTATTATTATTATTATTATTAATGTGCAATATTAATGCATTTCTATTCTTATTGAGTGTGATCATCATGGTTATCATAATTAATTGTAATCAGGGAATTATTTTCATTGTATGAAAACTTCCTTTTGAATAATTCTGCGCTGATTAAGGATCAAATTATTCATGATGATTGAATAATTGAATAAATGTAACTCCGTATGAGCAGAACACAGTAGAATTCAGTAACTCTTGTTCTTTGCTGTGGACGTGAGATGGATGTAGACAGAAAAAGAGAAACATGGTTGTTAAACTCACTGCATAATTTCACTAGGGTTTTTTGCTAACAAAATGTCCCATTTTAGCGCAATATCACCATCTAGCGCTGGAAGTCAGTTCTGCTGTATCTTGGACTTCAGTGGTTTGATTGAAGGTGCTGTAAGCGGTTGGAGCCGATCTGCCAATTTACGCCATTTTTTCAACCACACTCCCTTTCTCTAAACCTCCATCCTTCTAGGAAAGTTATTAGAAGTTCAGTTTTTTATTTTGAATAATTCTGTGCTTATTAATAATGTACAATAAATGTGCATTAAGAAGGTTAATAAAGTCAGGTTTTTATTTCCTCTGACTCACAAATGTCCTCTTAACAGGCACGGTAGCCATAGACCTGCAGGACTCCAGTGACAGCAGTCCAGAAGGCTCGGGCCCGCCGGCTCTGGGCAGTGGGAGTGTGAGCAGGAGTGGCTCCAGGACAGAAGTGGGCGGCTGTAACACTCTAGCACTACCTGCCATGAGTGGCTCAGAGGAGGAGAGGAGACACAGCATCGCCCCCGTCCTGGAGGTGGTTGATGGGGTGCACAGCCCTACGTTTGACCTGCTGGGAGACCAATCGGAGGACGAGGGAGGAGAGGAGGGAAAGGAGGAAGAGGGGGGAGAGCAGAAAGGCCAGTGGTGGGGAGCACACTGCGAGTGAGTCTTAGATCATGCAGGACCAGGTCTTGGTCTCTAGACCAGATAAATGTGATCTAGGTCTCATTAGTCTCATGAAGCCAGACGTTTGACTATTAGCATAAAGTCTGGCCCACTTTGCAGATTATTTTGGCCAACCAGACAGGAAAATGACTGAAGTGTGACAAACCACTGTTTATTTTATTTATATTTTTATTTTTAGATTACACAACAATCATCATAATTTCAAAAATAATCATTTCAAAAGTAGAAAGTATTGACTAAATTGCAGATACACTACAGTTTTAGTGAGAATTGGTCCCTAAACTAAAGTGTTACCAAACTCTGTCATTATTTACTCAACTTCATGTCTTTTCAAAACTGTATAACTTGCATTCATCTTCAAAAACACAAATTAAGATATTTTTATTAAATTCTAAGATTTTTGTCCCTCCACTGAAAGTCCTTTATACCAAAATGTTAACACTTCAAAAAGTTAATAAAGATGGTGCAAAACTAATACTTATGGCTTCCTTTTACCATATTTGATTAGCTCTATGTATGTGCATTGATCAATGTTTAAATGTGATTAAAAGCCTAAATTAAATGTGTTTGTCATGTAAAACGATCATGTTTTTCAGAAAACTTGGGATTGAACCACTTGATTCATATGGATTACTTTTACAATCTCCTTATGAACTTTTTAAGCTTCAGAGTTTTGTTGTAATAGACTTTCAGTGAAAAGACAGAAACCTCTCAGGATTCATTAAACATTTATCCACATTTGTGTTTCAAAGGTGAACGAAAGTCTTAAGGGTTTGAAACGACATGAGGCTGAGAGAATGATGGCAGAATTTTCAGTTTTGTGTGAAATATTCCTTAATTCTTTAGGAAAACATTTTCAAAAGGTCATCCATCTCTATCTAGGGAAGGCGGTGCTGGCTCCGTCGACCAATGGCAGCGCACATACCGGCGGTGTGCAGCCAATGAGGTCCACCACATCCGGCTGGAAGAGAGCCAGTTTTTTGGAGAATATCAGGGAAAGAGTTTCACTTTTGCCTCCTTTCATGCACATAAGAAGTAAGTCTGGTTAAAGATGCAGTGAATCACTATGTTTTAATGCCAGTAAACACACAATAACACCGTTAACTGCTGTGGCAGATACGGCGTGTGTCTGATCGGGGTGCGCAGGATGGACACAGCCAACATCCTCATGAACCCCGGACCCTGCCACATCATGGGAGCTTCCGACACCTGTTTCTACATCAACATCTCCAAGGAGGAGAACTCAGCCTTTGTCAGGGGCCACAGAGAGCCTGTGAGGGGCCCTGGGGGTGACTCAAGAGGGGTCCCGCAGACAATCTATCATGGCCTCACTCGGCTACCAGTGCACAGTATTATAGCCAGCATGGGTTAGTCTGTAAACTCATATTTTCATTTCAATCGTAAACTTGTGCCTGACGATAAATTGTCATACAGATTATTGCGAATAACTGTTTAATTGTCCGTTTTTCTTAAAGTTGGCATGAAATGGAAATTTATCCTATCGATTTTGTCTGCCTAAACCCCGCCCCTTTCTTACAATCAACTGCAAGCTCGCATTTATATCTGACTTCATCCAAACAACTAATGGACTGAACCATTTTTCCATATGTCACAATACGGAATAAAAGATCTGTCACTAATTCTGTTTCATTGTGACTTTAAGAATTCATTTATTCACACTGAATCTGAAATCATACAATAAAATGTATGAATTCCTTTAAGGTTTGAGAATAATGTTTTAAATATTTTTTTAAAAGATTCAAATATTCTTTGGTAGTATCATTTAAGTCCAAGTCATTTATTAGTATTAGTATTATTTAAGATTTTAAGAATAATGTTTTAAACATTTTTAAAAAGTGTCAAATATTTATCTTTGGTTCACTTACGTCGAAGTAATTTATTATTATTATTATTATTATTAATGTGCAATATTAATGCATTTCTATTCTTATTGAGTGTGATCATCATGGTTATCATAATTAATTGTAATCAGGGAATTATTTTCATTGTATGAAAACTTCCTTTTGAATAATTCTGCGCTGATTAAGGATCAAATTATTCATGATGATTGAATAATTGAATAAATGTAACTCCGTATGAGCAGAACACAGTAGAATTCAGTAACTCCTGTTCTTTGCTGTGGACGTGAGATGGATGTAGACAGAAAAAGAGAAACATGGTTGTTAAACTCACTGCATAATTTCACTAGGGTTTTTTGCTAACAAAATGTCCCATTTTAGCGCAATATCACCATCTAGCGCTGGAAGTCAGTTCTGCTGTATCTTGGACTTCAGTGGTTTGATTGAAGGTGCTGTAAGCGGTTGGAGCCGATCTGCCAATTTACGCCATTTTTTCAACCACACTCCCTTTCTCTAAACCTCCATCCTTCTAGGAAAGTTATTAGAAGTTCAGTTTTTTATTTTGAATAATTCTGTGCTTATTAATAATGTACAATAAATGTGCATTAAGAAGGTTAATAAAGTCAGGTTTTTATTTCCTCTGACTCACAAATGTCCTCTTAACAGGCACGGTAGCCATAGACCTGCAGGACTCCAGTGACAGCAGTCCAGAAGGCTCGGGCCCGCCGGCTCTGGGCAGTGGGAGTGTGAGCAGGAGTGGCTCCAGGACAGAAGTGGGCGGCTGTAACACTCTAGCACTACCTGCCATGAGTGGCTCAGAGGAGGAGAGGAGACACAGCATCGCCCCCGTCCTGGAGGTGGTTGATGGGGTGCACAGCCCTACGTTTGACCTGCTGGGAGACCAATCGGAGGACGAGGGAGGAGAGGAGGGAAAGGAGGAAGAGGGGGGAGAGCAGAAAGGCCAGTGGTGGGGAGCACACTGCGAGTGAGTCTTAGATCATGCAGGACCAGGTCTTGGTCTCTAGACCAGATAAATGTGATCTAGGTCTCATTAGTCTCATGAAGCCAGACGTTTGACTATTAGCATAAAGTCTGGCCCACTTTGCAGATTATTTTGGCCAACCAGACAGGAAAATGACTGAAGTGTGACAAACCACTGTTTATTTTATTTATATTTTTATTTTTAGATTACACAACAATCATCATAATTTCAAAAATAATCATTTCAAAAGTAGAAAGTATTGACTAAATTGCAGATACACTACAGTTTGGAGTCAGTCACCAAGGCTGAATTTATTTGACCAAAATACAGTAAAAACAGAAATACTGTGACATGCTGCAAGTTTGAAATAACAGTTCTATTGTAATAAATTTTCAAATTAAAGTTTTAAAATTGAAATTTATTCCTGTGATGGACACACTGAATTTTTTGTGCTACCATTCAGAAGTTTGGAGTCAGTGAGACTATTTTTTTTTAAAGAAATTACTACTTTTATTCAGCAAAGACAAAAAGTGACAGTAAAGAGATTTATAATGTTACAAAAAGATTTCTGTTTCAAATAAATGCTGTCCTTTTGAACTTTCTATTCATCAAGGTATCATGGGAAAAAAACATTTATGGCAGTTTCCACAAAAATATTAAGCAGCAAAACTGTTTTCAAAATTGATACTAAAAAGAAATGTGCAGCAAATCAGAATATTAGAACGATTTCTGAAGGATCATGTGACACTGAAGACTGGAGTAAAGATGCTGAAAATTCAGCTTTGCATCACAGGAATAAATCACATTTTAAAACATATTACAATAGAAAACAGTTATTTTAAATTCTAATAATATTTTACAATTTACTTATACTGTAATTAAAATAAATGCAGCCTTGGTGAGCATAAGAAACGTCTTTCAAAAACATAAAAAACTGTACTGATCCCAAACTTCTGAATGATGAGTGTAGATGTTCAGCATGTTCATCAAATGTTCATCCTAACAGCAGATTATCTCTGAGACAGCTGTTTATTCTTGTATTTCTCACAGATGGGTCAAAGGCTACCCGCCAAACTCTCCATACATCGGCAGCTCTCCTGCCCTCTGCCACCTCCTGCAGGAGAAAATGCCATTTTGCTGTCTGCGCCTGGATAAGGTGAATGTCTGCCTCTCTCCAAATATTTTATATATATATGACAACAAAAGCTCACCAACTACACCCTTCACAGCACAACATCCTAACAGCAGATTATCTTCTCAGGCTTGTCATCATATGCCCTACGAGGACGCTCGCTCATACGGCTTTAAAAACAAACTGATTATCGTGTCCGCAGAAAGTGCTGGAAACGGCATCTATAACTTCATCGTTCCGCTGCGGGCGTATTACCGGCCCAGGAAGGAGCTCAACCCCATCGTTTTGCTACTGGAGAACGTGTGAGTGTCCTAAAAACAGAAACATTAAGAAAGAGTAGAGCCTTAGGTATCATCCATCCTTTGTTTTTGTATTTATTATGACACAGAATCATCGTTTCTCCTGTAACAGAAAATTAATATGAGGAGATTCATTGTCATATAATGTAATCAAATGCTTCATTTCCATCTTGTCATCTTGTTTTTTCCTGATTGGATGTAAACTGGAGAGCAGCTGCAGGCTGGATTTCATTATTTAGATGCCCTGAAGCAGGGCGAAGTGGTGTGATTTTTTTTAATAGACATTGGGTCAGTTTCTTAAAATACTTTGAAAGAGACAACTGAGACCTTGCTAATTCATTTTGCATGTTTTTGTCAAGGCATCACCTCAGATTCTCAACATCTCTTTCTGTGCTGTTTGCTAGACCTGAGACAGACTTCCTGGAGGCCATCTGCTGGTTTCCTATGGTCTTCTACACAGTGGGCTCCATCGACAAGTAAGGGAAGCTTTACTTGAAGCCTGTACATATAAAGGGATTCACGTGTTTATAATACAACATTTAGTTCTGATGAATGAGTTTGAGTGCAGTCCAACAGCACTGGGAGATTTTTACTCTCTCACTCCATTGTCTTTGTTTGTTCCAGACAGACAGTCAGTCGGTACATTAGTGAGGGTTTTTGACACGTTCTGTAGGTTGCATCAGTAACCATCAGTAGGTGGTGACAAGTGTCTTCATGAGTGAGTCATTAAATCATTCATTCAGCCGATTTGTTCAAACACACTCATTCATTCAGAAACAAAACTAGACTGGCTGCGTATGGAATCACATACTCTCTGAGTAGGTAATCCTTTTGAATTAGTACTTACTTTGTGACTGTTTAAAAAAGTATGTTCTATGTACAGTAGTATGAATGTGTGTAGTGTGAATGTTAATGTTATCGCATTGGACTAAAACTGACTGATCGTAGGCCTCACAGATCTGCACCTTAGTTTTCGAGGGAATATTGCCAAAATTATCCACTAATAATGCTTTTTTTCACTCAAAAACTGAGGTGTATAAGCTCCGATCAATGAGGCCTACGATCAGTCAGTTCCAAAAAGAAATATTAATCCTGTGCTAATTAAAAGAAAACAAGCTGACAAAAAGACTGAATCCAAAGCCGCTTTTCCACCGACGGGCCGAATCGTTCTCGTTGCTTAACCATTCAATTCCATGCCGATCTGGGCCAGATGGTACAGATATCGTTTTCCACTGTGGGGCTGATAACAGCTCGTAATACAAATGCGTCAGTAGTTGCCTTGGTAACGCGAGTGTTTACATACGGTTTGAAATGTAAATAGCGACCGCGTTATGGAGGATGATCAGATATTTCTATTCATTTCGTTCAAATAGCACGCTTGGCCAGCTACAGAGAAAAACTAGCCAGACAACAAACAAGTGGACAATGCTAAAAACAGCTGTAATCAAGGTCTGAAATTTTTGAGTTTGTCCACACTTTCCAGAGGTAGTCGAAAACACATTTGACCAGACTGCTTCAGAGCAGAAACGAAAGCTGCTGCTCTCCATATCGTTGTCTGTTGTCTTCATTTGTGTTCATAAGTAAACACAAGCTTATTTCACAATATTAGATCAAAAGATCAGAAAAGGCCCAGCCCATAGAACCTCTCCTCAAAGAAATCAGGAAAGTGGTCGAAAGAGGAAAAAAGAGACAGATTACAACAGCTGGTATAAACGGGAATGAGTCTCACTCGTCTACTTGTGATCCGATCGACCAAAATGCATTTTAATACCACGTGTAAACAGGGCCTTAAGAAAAAGCGTTAAGGAACAAGAGTTAAGGAAAGGAAACCAGTTTGAAAACAGTAATTATTTTTTACCTCTAGAAATACCTTCACAAAGTGTCTGTCCAGGCATGAAGTATTATCAAAATATTAGCTTTTGTTCATTAGTTCAGTGGTTGTTTCAGTTCTGTTTGCTGTAGTTTAAGTCCCTCTGTCTGTTTGTGTCATTTTACTGATCCCTCAACACTGTGTGTGCAGTTTGGACAGTCTTCTGCGTTGTGGCGTGACGTTTGCTGACACCATGGTTGTGGTGGACAAAGAGAGCTCCATGATCGCTGAGGAGGATTACATGGCTGATGCCAAGACCATTGTTAATGTTCAGACGCTCTTCAGGTAGGTCCTTCCACATGCTCGGCATTCAACTTGAGGCATTTGGGGACTTGACACTCTCTCCGCACTGTTTCTCAAAGGCTCTTTCCAGCTCTCAGTATCATAACTGAACTCACCCACCCGGCCAACATGCGCTTCATGCAGTTCAAAGTGAAAGACCACTATTCTCTAGCTCTCTCCAAACTGGAAAAGGTGAGACCCGAATACAATACAATACAAACTGCCTTTATGTTTTCTAAACAGTCTAAAATAACTGGATATCTCATCTCCATTTGTGCTGTAGAAAGAGAGAGAGAGAGGCTCTAACCTGGTGTTCATGTTCAGATTACCGTTTGCAGCTGGGAAGGTGTTTAGTGTCAGTATGTTAGACACTCTGCTGTATCAGGTAACTATGATGCAGGTGACCACGCATGACTCAACTACAGTTTTTTATTATGGTAATAAATTATAATAAATACTATAGACTATATGGGGCATTCACACGTAATTTGTCTCTGGCCAAATACAAAGATAAACGTGATGTGTGGGAAACCATTCCAGGAATTGTCATACTGAGTGAGTTTGATTCATGGTTTAATGATTGTTTATCTTTGTATTTTACATTATTCACTGCTACAAGTTATATACAAACATGTATCCCCTTCAAAAAAAATTGAAAAATTGTCAAATTGTGATGGGTGTCTGAGGCTGGAATCGAACTCGGGTCTTCTAGTCAACTGAACTGCCTCTTTTACCACTGACCTATGGTGGATGACAAATAACAGATGGACCCAAGGGCAGAAGAATAACATGCAGGCTTAGATGACTGAACAAAAAGTGCTTTACTGAGGAGTCCAAGTTCAAAAGTACAACCAAAAAGGAAGCCGTGCTTCCACAGAAAAAATACAAGAAATAAAAGATGAGCAAAAGGCAAATCCAAAAACACAACAGACTTAGCTTTCTTGGTGAGGATAACACCTGCATAGTAGGCTCAAGACTGAACACAACTGAAAGAAAGAGGCATGCTTAAATAGGCAAACACAAATTAGGTAATGACCCACAGGTGGGAGGAATCAAGTCCTAATGAGTAGTAATACAATTAATTCTACAGAAGCTAGGGCCACCTAGTGGCTGGGAGAGTCATTACACGGTATAAGTGTCAGTGCCAGCTAATGGTTGGGGGAGTCATTACAAGCTGGAGCCTTACAGGAGCCCCTCCTCCAGGAACGGCTCCTGACGTTCCCCTAACTGTGTTGTTGTCCACGGCGGTGGAACTCCCTGATGAGATCTGGGTCTAGAATATCTCGAGCTGGCACCCAAGACCGCTCCTCTGGGCCATAACCCTCCCAGTCCACAAGATACTGGGTTCTCCCACGGACCTGGCAAGAGTCCAGTAGTCGGCGCACGGTGTAGGCTGGCTGACCACCAATGATGCGAGGAACTGGAGGGGGTTTCCTGGCTGGGGACAAAGGAGAATAGACAACAGGTTTCAAACGGGAGATGTGAAAGGTGGGATGAATGCGCATGGACCTGGGTAGAAGAAGTCGGTAGGACACTGGGTTGATCCTTTTGAGGACTTTGAAGGGCCCGATGAAGCGAGGCGCTAATTTCCGTGACTCAACGTGCAGAGGGAGATCCTTAGTAGACAGCCACACTCTCTGTCCTGGTCTAAGTGATGGTCCAATTCTACGGTGCTGGTTTGCATGCCTCTGCTGTTGTTGAGTGGTTCTTAGTAGGGCTACTCGTGCTCTGCGCCATGCCCGTCGACACCTTTGGACAAGTTGAGCAGCAGCTGGTACACGGACCTCGGGATCCTGTTCAGGAAACAGAGGGGGAGGAAAACCAAACTGGCATTCAAAGGGGGACATGCCTAAAGAAGAGTGGTGTAGAGTGTTGTGTGCAAATTCAGCCCAGATCAACTGAGAGCTCCAAGCAGTCTGATTGTTAGACACCAGGCATCTGAGAGTCTTTTCAATCTCCTGGTTGACTCTCTCTGTCTGTCCATTTCGACATCTCTCAGGATTCCCATCATACCTCTCTGGTGCAGGCAGTCTTGGCTCAGGTAGAAGCCCAGGAAATGGAGGTGTGGACCTTTCAGCTGGAACGGATGGGGTGGTTAAAACTGGAGAGGCTTGAGACCTAGTCTGCTCACTCAAGCGTTGTAGTACTTCAGTTAGGATCTGCTCATGTCTGTGAATGGTGGAAGCTTGGCCAGACAGAGCAGCTAGTATACGATCAACATTGGAGGCAGGTGTGGCATCTACTGCTGGGTCCACTTCCACGGTTCAGTCTTGCTGTGATGGGTGTCTAATACAATTAATTCTACAGAAGCTAGGGCCACCTAGTGGCTGGGAGAGTCATTACACGGTATAAGTGTCAGTGCCAGCTAATGGTTGGGGGAGTCATTACAAGCTGGAGCCTTACACAAATTACAATGTCATAGAAATAGTAAAGCTGCTTTTTCACTATCTACAATAATTGACAGACTGGAAGTCATTCATTTCCATTGGAAAGTAGTACGGGAGATGTGTGGAATTCCAATCAAATGCATATTATATGGAATTTTTGGATTTCACATTTAATCATCACTCTGAGCATAATTTTTTTTTTTACCAATTTACCAATATTTTTAGCAATGTTTATTATCAATATTTTTCACTAAACATTATTCTTTAAACACAGTTTCAGTAAAATGGGTGATTATGAATAATAACATCCAAAATAATTATTTCATAATTATCATTAAATTTTTTAAAGTAATGCATTACACTATTGCATTACTCCATAAAAAAGTAACTAATTGTGTTACTTAGTTACTTTTTATGGAAAGTAATGCATTATGTTACTTTAGCATTACTTTTTGTCACCTGAACTGGGCTTGCTTATTTATTTTTAATAACAAAAAAAGTTATATTTTTGGCAACTGTAAAGACCCTTTCACACCAAAAGTGTAATTAATAAGCCTCTGACTGAAGGATGTTTTCCTCTGCACCTCACTCCCAATTTCTCTCAACATGGGTACAGGAGAGGTGTCAGTGAATAAAAGGGAAAACAATGTAACTTGTGATACTTATTTGAAATAGTAACTCAGATATTTGGTTGTAAATTTCAAAGTAATGTGTTACTTTACTAGTTACTTGTAAAAGTAATCTGATTACCCAACTCGCATTACTTGCAGTGCGTTACCCCCAACACTGACAATCATATGTGACCCTGGACCACAAAAACAGTTGCAATTCAGCTTTCGGATGATGTATAAATCTCAATTTTGAAAAATTGACACTTAAGACTGGTTTTTATGGTCCAGGGTCACATATGCAAACATAAATTTGGCATTAATTAGACTAACTGTTTTAATAGCAGGCAATTTGCCATATTAATTGCAATTTCATTTGTGATCAGACTTTCAAAAGCTGTAGCCAGTTGTCTAACAAAGCAGTAACATCAGGACTATGACCAACAATATAATCTCTTGATAACCTGAAGCAATGAAAAAACTGTAAATGCCCGGTATTTGAGGGTAGATGCTATATTTATATGTGCATCTTAGGATCACATCTCATTTTCACAACGTATGTTTTCCTTTCCTTTCTAAAAAAGTTTTTTTTAGAAACTTTTGGGAAAATGTATTTTTACTGTTTCAGAAACGGTCAGCATCTAATTAAATGTGTTTAGTTTCATTAACAGATCTTGAACTTGATATGGCTGGAACACAATCCTAAAATACTCTGACAGCACCACAGCTAAAGATGTGATGTTTTAACTGAGATGGGGAATGGTCTGAAATGAACATGATGAGAGAGAAAGCCTGGGCGTCAGGAAATAATACAAACCCAATACATCAGTATGTGTAATCTAATGGCAAATTGACTCCTGTGAGCTGCTTTTCAAACGAATGAGTTAAAAAGACTTACAGATCTGTCTCAAACTAATGAGTCAGTAGGTTTGATTCGATCTGAAGAGATGCTTCCTCAAATCGTTAAGGAAATGTAATCATTAAAGTTAATTAAATTCCTTACCATTCTCATCACTTATACTCAACAAAACTATTGAGCACTGTTCCTCACATGCCTTTCTTTCACATCTATTAAATGTGGAGTCTACCCTGACCTGCTAGAGTCTACTGAAATATTCACTGAATTACTGAAATACTGTAATATTAGTGGGAGTCATTAGTGTCTGATTTCATCTTTTGTGTGTGTTGCAGTCCTTTGTGAAGGACTACATGATCTCCATCACCAGACTGCTGCTAGGTCTCGACTCCATGCCTGGATCTGGCTTCCTGTGTGCTGTGAGTGCAATCACTCAATCCATAATGAGACTGTATCTGGACTATTATGCCCATAATGATGGCGGTCATAATGAAATTGAGGACATTGATGATGATATTGCTGTGATATTCCTTCTAGATGAAGATCACAGAGGAGGATTTGTGGATCCGCAGTTATGGTCGTCTCTACCAGAAGCTGTGCTCGTCGACAGGAGACATTCCCATCGGCATCTACCGCACTGAAGCGCATAAACTGCCCGTCTCAGAGGTACCTGCTTGTGCATCTTTCTTTCATTTTTTGTTATAGCGTTTCGGTGGAGGAATGAGACCATCGTGTGGCTTGACTCAGTCTCAGGTGTCCATCACGGTGGAGGACTACGAGGATACACGCGAACCCCGCGAGCCTCTGCTCTGCCGCTCCGGTCTTCACCGTAACTCCACGTCGTCCGAGCCTCCCTCCTCATCATCACACGCCATGGACCACCCGCTCCTGAGGAGGAAGAGCATGCAGTGGGCGCGGCGGTTGAGTCGTAAAGGTGGGCGGGGCTCCAGCGGGGCCAAGGGAGTGGGGAGTGCCGCCGAGCGCATCAGCCAGCAGAGACTGAACCTGTTCCGCCGCTCCGAGAGACAGGAGCTCAACGCTTTGGTCCGCACACGCATGAAACATCTGGGGCTCTCGCCATCTGGATTTAGTGAGTGTGCACACCGCTGGGTGATCCACTGTAGCTAAAAATATAATGTTGCATATCTAATAAAGCAATAAGCCCCAAGAAGCCGTGGTTTACAGTGAATTTATAACAGCTAAGGGGCGTTGTTAGGCACGACGCGAAGCGTAGTTATTCCATATTCCATAAAACGGTTATTCCATATACGTAGTAAGGTTTCACAAAATAAAACAGAGCAAATAAAGTGTAATGATATTAATAAAAACAGTATTCTTCCACCAAACAATGTAGTTCCTCAGAATCAGTTGTGGTTGCAACAAAGTGGTTGCCAAGCAACAGACAAACGTTAAAAAAAGGGGTATGTTTGTAGAGTCATTTACAACAGCTTCGAACGTGGCTCAGCCAATCAGAATCAAGGACCGGAACTATCCGTGTTATGTAAATCATATAGCGTTATAGCAAGGTTTATTTGATGATTAATGAAAAATGTTGTAAAACAAAAATCTGACATGTTTTCTGACACATTTTTTTGAAAGAAATTATTGCTTTTATTCTGCAAGAATGCATTAAATTGATCAAAAGTGACAGTAAAGATATTTATAATCTTACAGAAGGAAGATTTCAATTTCAAATAAAGACTTTTATTCATCAAAGCAATAAAATCCTGAAAAAAAAGATTGATTTCCACAAAAATATTATGCAGCACAACTGTATTCAACATAAGAAATGTTTCTTGAGCATCAAATCAGCTTATTAGAATGATTTCTGATGCTCACAGGAATAAATTATATTTAAATTACATTTTAAAATATATTATAATTGAAAAATGTTATTTTTAACTGTAACAATATTTCACAATATTACAGTATTTTTTTGATTAAATAAATGCAGTCTTGGTGAGCATAAGAGGCTTCTTTTAAAAAAACATTAAAAGTCATACTGACCTCAAACTTTTGAACAGTAGAGTACCTTCAGGACATTTTAAAAGGGGAATCATTCAAACACTTTGTCCTCTGTTCTGATTCTGTATGTTCATATTTGGTATCTTGTGTTTAGACTGTGATTGTGTCCTTCTCTTCTTATGTCAGATGGGATGACGGACCAAGGCAACAGACTGTCTTATATTCTTATCAACCCTTCCCCCGACACACGCCTGGAGCTCCATGATGTCGTGTGAGTAACAATGACATCACTAGATAGTGTTTTAATTGGGTGCTGCTAGATAGCATTGTTGGGGTGCTTCAAACATGAATAATTAATCTGTTCTGATTCTGTATGTTCATATTTGGTATCTTGTGTTTAGACTGTGATTGTGTCCTTCTCTTCTTATGTCAGATGGGATGACGGACCAAGGCAACAGACTGTCTTATATTCTTATCAACCCTTCCCCCGACACACGCCTGGAGCTCCATGATGTCGTGTGAGTAACAATGACATCACTAGATAGTGTTTTAATTGGGGTGCTGCTAGATAGCATTGTTGGGGTGCTTCAAACATGAATAATTAAAAATGACTATTTTACCCAATATGTGTGTGTGCTATGTATTTTATGCTTATTGGGGTATTCTGTTCAGGAAACACTCATGTGACTGTTGTCATTCCTGCAGGTATCTGATCAGACCAGACCTTCTGTCACCAGTGCCTAACCAGGCCGGCGGTCGCAAGCCCAGCGCAGGGCCAGCAGAGGCACAGGAAAGCAGGGCCAGATTTGAGACACAGGACAGCACTCATCTATGAACACAATCACCACAGGCCACCAGCACGAGAAGATGGGACATACTTATATGTGTGTGTGTGTGTGTGTGTGCGTGTGTACGGTTGAGAGAGAGAGAGAGAGAGGAATACCTCTGCAGAAGTGACTGTGAGCTGAATCTACACTGTAAAAAGTGATCTAGCTTTTAGTTGCCTTCAGTCAGCTTTCATGTTAAATAGTCAGTACAACTGAAATTGTTGAGAGAACACGATTTTTAAGCTTTCATTGACTCAACTAATGGATGCATTTCACAAAAACTATCGAGAGCCTGTCCAGGTCACATGAAATGCCAAAATTACAAGAAATAACAAATTATGTTTTGCATAAACAAAATGAAGCCTTTTTAGGACCGTTTTGAACTGTGATACTATTTTCCCTCGCTTTGGAATACAAGTCACAGCACATTTCACATGATAAAAAATGCAACTTGTATTCCAGAAAATATGGTAATTGTAGTTATGTAACAATCATAATGCTCCTAAAAGTAGGCTTCATTCTTTATACAAATATAATTTCTTTTTCTTGACATGGACATGTTTTTCACCCAAATAAAAAAATAATTTGAAGTTGAACACTGCCCAGTTTACCAAATAGGTTTCATTTCTCAATATCTCTCAAGAACATGCTTGCAAAAAAAAGAAAAAGAAAACGAAAAAAAAACAGTATTGTCGTGCCCGCTTGCTTATTACACTTTCAGTCATATGTTTCAGCCTTGTGCTTTGCCCCAGTTGCACAATAAAGTCTGACGACTTCTAATATAACTTCTATGATCCTTACCAAACTACATTAACATAGCTGGTTTCTGTAAGTATGATTCTATAAATAACAGGTGGTAGAATGTTTAAATTTAACATTTATCTAATGTATCTTAAATGATCCTATCTAATGTAAAAGATAAAAGCTGCTTGTGTCAGTGTATAAAACAAAAGAGTCTGTACAAACCAAGATGAAAATACCATCTTTTAAGGCATGAGTCATCCATAATTTCTAAGTAGTTGTTTTAACACATTCTACACCAAAATGTGTGTTTCTGTAGGTCAAGAAACGCTCATGGGTTTGATTCCCAGGGAAAACACAGAATGATCAAATGTTTACTATAGATACACAGTAAGATGAAAATGTAAATACATGATTGACACTCAAGACAAAGCAACTGGGTAGAAACCAGGGAACATTAACATAACTGGACGTTTTAAAATACTAAAAGTTTTGTTGTGACTATCAAATATTTCTTGTCTACACTTTTTAATTTGCCACGAGTATACAAAACGAACAATATCTGTTGAATCTTTTAAATGATTGCATAAAGTCAAGGTTTTTAAATCAAATTAACATAATAAAGTTCTCCAAAGAAAATACTGGATTCGTTTTAAATCGCATCAATGCAAATGGATTCCAAACTTTTGTATAATTAAGCAACAAATCACTTTTTACAGTGTAATCTAATCCTTATTTTCTTACTAAAGAACTTTCCAACGCATGGACCTTTGATAAACTCATTTACATTTGATTTATGCATCAAATTATTTTTGATGCCAGACAGCCGAGGCCACGTAAGTGCATTTATGATGTAACTTGTACTAGTCTCTGTGCATGTGAATGTACGTTAAATAGCCAGCACTGCCAATCTTGACTTGGACCGCCAAAGGAACACGCTGCCAAATGTCCGTGGACGGGGGTTTGTTCTCTGTTGCTCTGTGTCATGTACATTCAGTGTCTGTCAGCCGCTCTGAGGACCCTGGGATTCATCAAGCCGTATCAGAAGGGAGGTGCTTGTACATTTTGTGAACGTTTTCTACCGTTCTCATTTCCCAAACTCTCTCTGGACTTGCATATTGCTTTGCAAGCTGCCAAAAAGGAGCTTATTAAATGGCCATTGAGCCAAATGAACGATCTACAATCTTTCTCATTCTTTTACCACAACATCTGTTGGTTATTCTCAGAGGAGGCTTCAGGAACAAGCCTTCTGTGTCTTCAATGACATTTTGAAGTCATCGTCTTTGAAGAAAATTTAATTCTTTCTGTGAAATGGCTTAAGCCTCTGTTAGATGCTTACTTTGATATGATCATCTGTTTAGCTATGGGTTTCTTTGTTTTATCCCCCCTTCTATTGCGATGTTTATGCCTTTGCCAAGGCTGTTTTTGTCATTTGTCAGTATAATACCCTGTTGCTGGCATGCATGCTAAAGAACATGCATGTAGACCAAGGATTTGTTCGTCCTGCCATAAAGTACAGGAGTGAGCGAGATTGTACCGTCCCGCTGCTCTGTGTTGATAAAGCACTTTTGCCTTGATTCAGTGCCATTCAAACACAGGAGCATAATAAAATCAACCAAACTGATGACTTGTCTCTCATGCTTCCATGTGTGAACTCACCGAAAGGTTACCAAGTACGCAGAGAAAAATTTCTCACCCACACACCCTTTTCCAAAAAAAATGGTTTTCCAGACCATGACCCCTTTTTTAAATGTAAATAGGCAGCCTACACAATAATAGGGATATTTTTGGAGTTGAATGCACCTCGTGAATCTGACCATCTCACACGCTGTTCTCTTTAACTGATGTTATTTTCATAAACATAGAGAATGACTCACCATAATTAAACTGCAAACAGCACTCCAACGCACGTTCCATTATTCTCACAGATTTCCTGTTTCAGTGGTAAATGACACCGTTTTAAATAAAAGTCATGTTTTGATGTGTTGCAGTTACAGATCTACAGGCGAAAAGGTTGCTCTAGGACACATGTCAAGCTCTGTGTCAAACTATCCTGCAGAGTTTAGCTCCAACCAGTTCCTAAATACCTGCCTGGAAGTTTCTGAAGATGTTGATCAGCTGGTTTTGGTCCCCATGAGGAAAACAGCTAATAAGTCATACAGTTTTTTGAAAATGTAAAAATGCAGAAAGTTTTCTGTAAGGGGTAGGTGTAGGCAGCAGTATAAAAGTAGTCCAATTCTGGACTTGGCAACACTGTCGTTTCTAATGCAAACAGAACAGGGCCAGGTGAAGTGTTGTTTGGCGTCACACTGGCAGCCTACGTTATAAAGCAGAGGGTGCAGAAGTTTGTGGATGTTTCATAGGCATTTATACGAGTGGAAATACAGCCATACCTGATTGCCTGAGCTCATTTTTCTCCCTAAAAGCACACATATTGGCTACTGTAACTGCTAATGGAGCTAATGAAGATGAGGGCATGATCTGTTGCTTACTTTCAATATGGTTTCTAACGTTAGACTTTTGTTTTAATTATGAAGATGGCAGCTGATATTGCATTGAGAGCATTTCATAAGGACAGAGAAGGCGGCTGCAAGAAAAGGTCAGCTTGGTACAAGACCAACCAGGGTCCAAGCTGCAGGGCAATTCTTCTGTTGAGCCAGAGGCTATAAAACCAGGTCAAGACACAGAAAGTGTCCCAGTTGAAGACTCACATAACCAACAGAATACTGGCAGATGATGAACATCTTGAAAATCTTGATCACTGGAACCAACCGGGGCTTGGGCTTAGAAATTGTTAAGCAACTCTCTGAGAACTCTTTTCCCAAACAGCATATTTTTGCTACCTGTCGTGACCCAGATGGGCTGAAGTCTGAGGTGAGTTATGAATAGCTAAAACAAAAAAATTTAATTAAAAAAATCAGGAGTATTTATAATGTGCCTTGTTTAATTATGCATTTTATCTTTCTTAAGGCAACTATGGGAGGCAAGGCACTGTCAAAAGATAAAGTTGTGGACAGGCACAAGTCAGGAGACAGATACAAAAAATACACTTCAAAGGCTTTATCAATGCCTAGAAGCACAGTGAAGTCTATTATTAAGACGTGGAAGGGATTTGGTACAACACAGACTCTCCCTGGATCAGGACGTCACTCCAAACTGGATGAAAGAGCAACAGACTAAAGGTTGTAATTAAAGCAAAAGGTGGTTCAACAAATTATTGACACAAGGGGGTGATCCTTTTTCCAACACAGTGATTCTGTTTTTTTATTTTTATTTTTTATTTTTTTATTACATGTTGATGTTATATCTTTCACTTGGATGTTATAAGTTGCACTGAGTGAATACAGCTGGATAAAACAAAAACTGTGTCCGTCTTCATTTCAGGCTGCAAAGCAACAAAACGTGATTTTAAAGAGGGGTGATTCTTTTCTATACCCACTTTACATGTCAAAATATCCACATGTACAAGATTATAAACAAATTATTGATAATACTTTACAACATACACTACAGCTGAAAGTCTGGACACACTTGACTATTTTTGTTTCTCATGAGCTTAAAAAATTTTAGCTGTTTTGCAGACAACTTGTGTGTGTATATATATATATATAAATTTTTTTTTTTAATTATTATAAAAATGTACATTGCGTATGTGTGCTTTACAAAATTAATTATTAATTTTATTTTGTTTTCCAAAATTTTGTTTCAGACATACTGGTTAGGCAAAAGCAGCAACAAATGTCCACATGAACTTCTTTAATACTTTCAAAAAAGCATCCTAGGCAACTCATGAGGTTGGCTGAAAAAATCTGTGCCTATAATTTCTGAAACTGTCTATTATTATGGGAGGAGGTAGGTTTGATTTATTTGGGTACATATTGATGTGGACACTGTGTGTATATTATATTGCTTCAAATTACTGATGTTATATTTATTGAGTTTTGCAAGTGTCCCTAATCTGCCTTAAATGTTTTGGAAATATAAATCAATATAGGTAGATTCAAATGGAAATCAGTAAATCAAATAATTATTGGTGTATAGCTCATCTCTATAGATTGTTCATTTAGAGGCAGAGGCCTTTGACCCTGGTTAGACTTGACCCAGGTTAGATTTAAGTGTAAAGAAACCTCTTATGGAAAGTGATGCACATTTGAGGTCAAGAACAATCCAACATTTACTCGTCATTACTGTCAAGTTTTACCAATATTTGAGTCAGAGGTCAGCTTGGGCCTGAGGCTTTGGAGGGGCATGGCCTAGAACACAATATAGTCCTGTCTATAACTGCAGCACTTCACTTGGCCGAGGTCACCACCATGAGGCTGATAACGGTACTGCTATTCCTAATGGTTTCTGTGATCTTTTCTGCTGTCCTAACAGTCAGTTGCAGTCTTATTAAAGGGGTCATATGATGCGATTTCAAGTTTTCCTTTCTCTTTGGAGTGTTACAAGCTGATTGTGCATAGATAAGATCCCTGAAGTTGCAAAGACTAAAGTCTCAAAACCAAAGAGATATTCTTTATCAAAGTTAAGACTCTGCCACGCCCCCCTAAAACGGCTCGTTCTAACACGCCCCCACATATCGTCACTATGTGGAAATATTAGCATAATGCCACCCAAATGTGCACGCAAAGAAAGAAGGCATGGTTTCAGTAACCGCAGTTAGTGTTGAAGCAGCCATGTCAAGGAGACGCTGTGTGTTTCTAGGCGAAAGCAAAACCACTTTATTTGGCCTTCCGAAAGTAGATGCATTAAGATTACTTACAACAGAACAGCAATGCATTTTATGGACGACCGTTTCATGAACCTAGGAGAGGAGGTAATTCTGACTTTGCTATGACAATCTGGCGCTTCTGAATCAGCTACTGTAAGTATGTTTTGTTACTAGTTTAAGTATTTGCTATTGACTGTTAAAATGCGGAGTTTTGCGCATCGTGTGTGTGTGTGTGTGCATGTGTGTGCGAGCGAGCGAGACAGAGAGAGAGAGCGAG